TATACAATAATGTATGGAGGAAGGGATTAATTAACTTTAACATCATTTTCCACTAGAACTACTGAAAAGACACCTCAAATACAGGATGGTGGGTCAGCAGATTAATCTTCTCATACTGGATTCAAAAGCAGTGGATTTTAAGTCATTCTTTTTTTTTTTTTTTTTTTTTGAGATGGAGTTTCGCTCTTATTACCCAGGCTGGAGTGCAATGGCGCAATCTCGGCTCACCGCAGCCTCCGCCTCCTGGGTTCAGGCAATTCTCCTGCCTCAGCCTCCTGAGTAGCTGGGATTACAGGCACGCACCACCGTGCCCAGCTAATTTTTTTCATATTTTTAGTAGAGACGGGGTTTCACCATGTTGACCAGGATGGTCTTGATTTCTTGACCTCGTGATCCACCTGCCTCGGCCTCCCAAAGTGCTGGGATTACAGGCTTGAGCCACCGCGCCCAGCCGATTTTAAGTCATTCTATAAAGACACATGCACACATATGTTCATTGCAGCACTGTTCACAATAGCAAGGACTTGGAACCAACCAAAATGCCCATCAATGATAGACTGGATAAAGAAAATGTGGCACATATACATCATGGAATACTATGCAGCCATAAAAAAGGGTGAGTTCATGTCCTTTGCAGGGTCATTGATGAAACTGGAAACCATCATTCTCAGCAAACAACCACAGGAACGGAAAAACAAATACCACATGTTGTCACCTGTAAGTAGGAGTTGAACAATGGGAACACATAGACACAGGGAGGGGAACATCACATACCAGGGCCTGTCGGGGGTTGGGGGAACAGGGAGGGATAGTATTAGGAGAAATACCTAATGCAGATGATGAGTTGATGGGTACAGTGAATCACCATGGCATGTGTATACTTATGTAAAAACCTGCACATTCTGGACATGTATCCCAGTGCTTAAAGTATAATAATAAAAAATTCAACACTTAATTTGAGATAAATTTTTCTTTCCTGGATGGAATGAAAGGAGAAGAAAAAAATGGGAAGGATGGTGCTTTTGGAAGATTTGCCTGCGCTTTTAACTAATTTCAACCCCCGGCTTCAAATGCAGTGAGTTGTTTCATTTGATCGACAATAAGTCATATCCTGTAAAAGGCTCCCTGAAGGGGAAGTGGCTCCAACGCCGTTTCCATGGCTCCCTGCTGTAACTTTTTTTAATTTTTTTACTGAACTAAGCATTACTAATTTTAGCCATGGATTATCTGGAAAGCAAGGAAGAAATAGATGAAAGGCAGTTTTTACCTGAGCCATACTGAGCCCCTAAGAACCTCTTACTAAGAAAGTTGTTGATAGAAAAGGCAACCATATAATTTCAATACTTTGGGGATGATTGCCAACTGCTGTCCATCAGTGCGTGTATGTGGGAGGGAGGCTCTGTTTTTCTAAGGAGGAAATAAAAACTCAGCAGTGAAATGGGTTGGATTTGATCATTACAGCCTTTATAAGAAAACTGAATATGTTCCCAGCAACCTTAATTCTCACCCTAGCCTCTGTCTAGTCCAAGGTCCTTCCATTAATGGAATGATATTAGATTTGAGGACTGGGTTATTTTCGACACTAGTTTCCGTAAGCTGCTTCAGTGATGGGACTTGAAACAAAGATCTGCATAAGAGAAATAAATTTATGTTCAAGGCTACTGTGATTTTGAGAGCAGGATGTTAAGGTAAAAAAAATAGCAATGGAGACACTCCGATACTTTCATAGAGATGGAGATGCTACTTAAATAAGTAACGTTCCATTACCTACAAAGGAGTCATAAGAGAGAGATATATTCCTTATCTTAGCCACTCCATCCTTCACAATCAGCAAATCCTCCAGATAATATTGGATTATTGAAACTGCTCTTGGAAGTATGCAGATCTCAGTGTGGGATGCAGGGGAAATCCCTATGTGAGTTCTGAAGGAGGAGGCAATGTCACCCTGTGAGCAGGTCCCACTAGATAGCCAAGTTATGACCCTCTGGGTACTGTCTGGCTGCTCTGAATGACGGTATAGGCAAAAGTATAAGGATTACCATGTAGTGGCAATCCTCATGGGTTTCCAGGCCCAGGTACCCTAGGCTCGCTCCCCTGGGACTGGTGGCTACAGCTCCTCTAAGCGTGGCATCTAATGAGGGTCAGCCTTAAGCAGAATTCAGAATGTCCTGTTGTTTTCCCCTTCCTTTTCTGAACCTTCTTCTAGACTGTTCTTTCATACTAAGATATAGAAAACTCATAAAAAGCAGTATTACCCCAAAGGAAATTTGTATTCTCACTAATCTAAGGAAGAAGCAAAAGAGAATTATTGGCAGTCAAAGCTGTAGGGAAGGAAGCCTCTTCGAAAAGTCTCCTAAGTCACAGCCTGGCTCTGTACCAGGAAACTTGGCAGGCTGATGAGGGGGAGAGGAGCAAAGAGGGACTGCCACCAGCTGCCCACTCCCAGGAATCTCTTCTAATGCAAGGAAATTCTGATTCAAGATTCCTTCAGGACTTCACAACATCACTCAAGAGTGGAATTAGATTCCGTAATGGGAGCCTTGGGCATACTTCAAATGCAGTGTCTAGGCAGGCTTTGTACCTGAACGGATTTATTTCAAACACTCGAGGAGTGCCTAAGCTTCTTCGTCCTAAGGGGACCATGGGATGGCACAGATTAGGCTTACCTATTTCAGTTCACAGTGTGGTGGAGTTGCACAAGAAATTCTTCCTGGAGGAAATGGCTCCAAACAGAGTCTTAAAAAAATAACAGAGGTTAAACTGAGGAAGAGAAATGAGAAGGCATTCCAGAGAAAAGAACTAGCAAAATCCAGGGCATAGAAAACAGCGTGGATAAGGAATCTTACATTTTTCCTTAGTGTAACTGACAAGTTTCCAAGTATAAATGAGCTGGATTACTCAAGGCCTCGTGTGCCCTGCAGAAGAACTTGTATGATGACCCATGGGTGATGGAGCCACTGAAAGTTGAAGCAAAGGAATACATTAACTTTTTGGTTGCAGGTGAATAATGTAAAAATATATAAGATACATAAGTAAAAAATGAATTCTCCAAAGAAATGAAAAGATGGTCCTAAATTTGTATGTTTATATATGCGTGCGTGTGCGCATGTGTGTTTGTAGGGGGAGGTTTATTTATCGTTGAAGTTAAGAGCGTGATTGAAATTAAGAATATGATGTCATATAGTATTACAACATGATGATTATCCATGCTATATTATTCAGGTCTCTAGTTTCAAGTAACAAAAACAAACTTATATTAGCTTAAACCACACACAGCAGCTATGTGATGTTGGGCAAGTTTCTTAACCCTGCTGTGCCTCAGTTTCTTCATTCATAAAATGAGGATAATAGTACCTTCTTCAAAAGGTTACAGTGAGGGTTAATTAAGGTAACATGTCTAAAGCACTTGGAACAGTACCTATCATATTTGTTATGTCCACAATTATTATTCTTGGTTATACAACAAAAATAATATACAACAACATTTTTTTGGTTATACAACAAAAAATGTTAGAAAAATGCATGCTAAGCTATTTTTAGCATTCAATTTCCATTTTTGAGTGATTTGTATCTGCTTTATTTGTGTTACAAATTTTCTGTAAATGTCACATGTTAACTGAATCATCAGGGGAAATATCTTACCAAGAAAAAAAATGGCGTGATCCTAAGGGCCGAATACTCCTGATCCTCAGACCTTTTAAATTTAATTAAAAAGGTTCCTGAAGTAGGAATACAGGACCGGGATTAAAGTCCCACCTCTAAGACTTTATCAGATGCATGAATTAGGGCTACCTGGAGAACATCTGTGAGTTTGAGTTTGCTCGTCCATTGGGTGTGAATAACTGTATCTTTTCTATCTTCACATTCATTATAGCGTTTGCTGGTTAATACAACAAGATAATGAATGTGAAGTTCACCATGAGCTATAAAACCCTGTACACATGGAAGAATTTCTTAATAAAGTAATTCCCTCACTGACTCTATTTCTGATTTCTCTGCCTGAAAATTGCAAATCTGCTCAGTGCAAGAGGATTGTGCTTATTGATTAGGTAATTACTGTAGAGTTTGCAGCCTTTGGAAAGCAAGAGGCTCTCTAGGATGCACTATAATTTTGCAAATCAGCAGCTCTTGATTGTTAGGGTAAGTCCATGTTGTTTGGGATTATTCATGCCACTTGCTTCCCTGCTTCTCTTTCTTGCAATCTGCCTTTGCTCATTTTATTATTTATTAGCAACTGGCTGTGCGTTAAGAAGGAAAATAGAAAGGGGTATGAAATGTAAACCATAAAATAATGTAACTCGTTAGTGAAAATGTCATCCGTGAGAGATGCTGGGTCTTACTGTACTTTAGATAACCTGTGACTTCTTTGAATGAGCATCTGGGCAATAAGTTCATGCCCTTTCTATATAATCAGAGATCTGGTATTGCTGCTTAAGGCTCTAGAAACTTGTTAATGTTCAGAATGTAGCCAACAGTTTCAAATTTGGTTATGCTTCTTGTTGCTGTGCTTTGGATTGAAAAGGTCGGCTCACAGAAGGGTAAAACCCTTCCAGTGCATGTGAGTGCTCTTTACATATTACACCTACATCTTATAAACTTAGTCTGAGTCTTGTAAGTCCTCTCGCATCACAGAAAACTCTTTTCCATATCTGACTCAGTTTTGTATCTCTGAGAGTAGACTGACATTTCCAGTCTCAAGCTAGAAATGGAAAAGGCCCATTCTCTATAATTCCTCCTGGAGACCATGGAGCATGAGGTATATCTCGAGGTAGCCTCAAATCCTTGGAAATTTGAGAGGTTTGAGTCATTAATACTCTGGATAGTTTGGGTCCAAATCCGGCTAGTGACCTTTAGAGAAAGAGCCTTTTCGCGCAGAGATCTAAGAATATGATGTCATAGTATTACAACATGATGATTATCCATGCTATATTATCGAGGTATTTAGTTCCAAGTAACACAAAAAATGAACTCATATTAGCTTAAAAAAACTATGAGCTCACTGAAGGAAGGGCAGGAGATGACAGGAACTCCAGGAGCTTTACACCGTTGGGACATTCTTCCTCTTCTACATCTCCTCTCAGGCTGGCTGCCCACAAGCCAGATCCATGGCAACAAACATCACTAGACTTTTATTTTTAAAACCTCCAAACCAGAGAAGACAGCTCCTGCCCCTCTGAAGGAGTAATTCTTTTTTGGAGGTACATCTGTGGGTCTTCAGAAAACTGTGGCTTTAAGATGTAGTCTATTTTCCTCAGGAGCTTCCCAGTCCAAATGTCACACAGGTAAGTGATGAATATGTAATGAGATACATATAAATAATTGAATAACAAAAATTATCAAGGCACCAAGAGGAGAGACTTTAGTCTCATCTGCTGCAAGTGAGAGGATGAGAAATATTATGATAATGAGACACAAAATTCTGTTTCACCAACTGGCTAGTGATAGAAGAATGGCAGATAACTGCAGAATCACGCCAAAGTCATATCTGATGGTTATTTTTGCTTGTTCCATATGTACATGTTGAAACTTAAATTAACCCTTTCAGAAACAATTATTCCATTGCATGAGACCAGTTATTATCAATTAATTCTGATGTTGAATATATACATAAAGGTGTAAATTCGGTACGTTCCTTTGGGAAAGGTACTGGTACTAGGTGAATGCATCTAATATTTCCACTTTTGTGCGCATAGACCGCAGTACGGGTCGCAAGTAGAGCTGTGCAACATGGCAGCCTTAAGTGTATTGGGAGTGTAGTTTGGAAATGTGGTAGAGACTTAAAATTGCCTATGCAACATTCATTCTCCCTTCTTCCTTCCTCATAGAATGTAAATTACATTCCAGGTTATAGTGAAGTTACATTTTCTCCTTTCTTCCTTCCTCATAGAACGTAAATTATATTCCAGGTTATAGTGTGCCCAGGTAAAAAGTTACATTTTCCTGGTGGCTTGATGTCAATGAGAAACCAGCTAAAGTTGCTCGTGGAGCATCTGAAAAGCCCTCTTTACTTTCTTCTTTCCTGCTTCCTGAAATCCAGATGTGAGTCTGGAGCCCCAGCAACTGATCTGGGTGCTAAGAAACATGTGAAAATGGCAGAGATGACAGATAGAAGTTGGTCCTGAAGACCATGGAATGGAGTGACCAGACCTGCCATAGACTGCCTACATTCATGCTTTTAATTCTATTTTTGTTTTTATTTTTAAAAAGTGAGGTATACTTTTTAATGTAAAGCCACTGACAGTTTGAACTTTCTCATATATGCAGCCAGGTAAGCATGTGTTTTAAAATTCCAGGCATTCTTATAGGAAACACTGAGTCCGAAAAAGCAATTTATGGAAACGGTGAATGAAAGATCATTGTCTTCAGAGTTCTGCTGTTATTTGACTCACTGCTATCCAGGCATGATCCATCTGCCCTTTTCACATCCTCATTTCACCTTGAAAGTTGAACAGAGGTGAGAAACATAGTGGAAGATGAGTGAGGCAGGAGGAATGGAAAAGCCGTTTGCTGGCTTCTTTCCAGTTCATTCCTTAATCTCCCATGTGGATGCTCACGGTTGGCAGGAAAAAAAAAGGCAGTGAAAGCCATTACTACACCTCAATCTTAAATTTTAGAACAGCTTTCAGAGAGGGTAAAAAAGCACTTAAATAAAATCCTTTGCCAAAAAAAGTTGCACTGAAGCTCGAAAATGGAACTGATGGCTAATAATAAATTTTGGGTTATAGCAAGAGTTCTGAGATACAAATGTGTTCATTTTATCTCCCAGTGTCTGCATCAATGGCTTAGGGCATATATTTATAAATTCCCGTGAAACAAATGTTATCTTCAGGTTATCAAGCTAACTTTTTCCCCCAAGATAGGATGTTCAAGCATTCTAGTTTTGTTTATTTTTGTTCTGAGACTCAGTCTGACTCTATTACCCAGGCTGGAGTGTAGTGGCACTATCTTGGCTCACTGCAACCTTCACCTCCCGGGTTCAAGCAATTCTTCTGCCTCAGCCTCCCGAGTAGCTGGGATTACAGGTGTGCACCACCATACCCAGCTAATTTTTTGTGATTTTAGTAGAGATGGGGTTTTACCATATTGGCTAGGCTGGTCTCGAACTCTTGACCTCTGGCTATCTGTCTGCCTCGGCCTCCCAAAGTGCTGAAATTAAGGGTGGGAGCCACTGAGCCCAGCCCAAGCATTCTAGTTTTAAATGAAAATAAGATCAAACTATTTGCAGAACAAAGTACAATTACATTCCTGAATAATCAAATCAGTGCTTTAAAAATATCTGAGACTAACAAATGCTCTCAAATCCAAGCTTATCTCAAGAACTAATCAATGTGATATAACATAGAGGGCTTTGGTTGAGAACATTGTAAACTAATAGGATCTGGAATGTAAATACCAGAAATTGTTGTATGTTGCATGGTTTGTTTTTAGGGGGATTGAAAAGTACAACAGGGAACGGTGACTCACGCCTGTAATCCCAGCATTTGGGAGGCCAAGGCAGGTGAATCACTTGAGGTCAGGAGTTCAAGACTAGCCTGGCCAACATGGTGCAACCCCGTCTCTACTGAAAATACAAAAATTAGCCAGGTGTGTTGGTGTATGCCTGTAGTTCCAGCTACTTGGGAGGCTGAGGCAGGAGAATGGCTTGAACCCAGCAGGTGGAAGTTGCAGTGAGCCAAAATTGTGCTACTGCACTCAGCCTGGGCAACAGAGTGAGCCTCATCTCAAAAATAGAAAAAAGAAAAGTATAGCTCCTAATTTGTTTAATGTTTCTAAAATATTTGCTCAGCACCTACTACAGACAAGGTGCTGTGGACCTTGATAAGTGCTGGGGACACCATATCCTATCTAGGTCTGTTATGTTCATCTGCAGCTAGAGAGGGGATTGCAATATGCAGGATTCTGAAGAAATACCAGCATAAAGGCACCAAATTATACATGTGGGTCTCACATACAGATCTCTAGAGAAGGATTTTACCCAGATATATAGGCAGTTCCCATTAGAGCAACAACAAAGGCAAGAAGAACAAATAGTGGAGGGGAAATACTGCATATCCAAGAGCCACAGACAACAGGGGTGGGGAACTCAGGGCCCCCGGAGTTGATCTCTGTCTCCTAAGTAGAACAAGTATTTGAAAATTCCCCATTTTAAATTTGTAAATAAAAGGAGAATAATTATTTTTGTCCTGGAGAAAGGATGATTTCCAAATGGTGCAGAGGTCATTGGAGAACTGAAGGGTGGTTATAGGAGCTGCTCATCTGCTCTGATGTTCTCAGGCCAGCTGCATAGGAAAGTCAAATACCTCCAGGCTGTTGCCCCTCTCTGTAGGTTTCTGGATTGCTACCTCTTTTCTTTATTGTACTTCTGTGGATTTTATTCCGTGTCCCTCTGCCTTGTGTTCGCTTCCCCTCAGTATTTATACATCTCTGTTATATATATATACCTATACAGGCATGCATATATATATATATATATATATACACACACACACACACAGACATGGTTATATATGTACATACTCTCTCTATATATACATGCACATACATTTTCTCTCTGCTTTTTTTAAAATTTTCTGTAATATAGAATTGAAAAGTATGTTTTGCATTTCTTAGTATGGTTTCTTGAATATAATATGTGTTTCTTGATTTTTTTCAAAGAATATAAAGGAGGTAAGTGAAATTATTTAAATTTCTTTATAATTAAAATTTTCAAGGAATTGGAGTGGCCACTCATGTGTGTGTGTGATGGGAATCAGGTCGGGCCAAGGCCAGACTAGAAAACAAGTTTATCATCTTTAGAGCAGAAAGTAGCAGATTTTGTCTCACTCATTCACCCATTCATTGTAGCTCCAATTTAGGAATAGAAAGGTGAAGGAAGATTGCACTTACCACACTGCAAACTATAGCATCTTATTGACACGTTGTATCAACTCTTTCTTACTAGGAGTTTCTTACTGGGTTCTAATATTTTGGTCACTTTTTCTCCAGAAGGCGAAAAAAATTCTTTCTTTCATCTTCATAAGCTACCTAGGAGTTACCAGGTTTTCTGAAATATTTATTATAAATTAATTAGTGGATACTGTGCATTTAAAGGAGATACGACTGGGTTCTTCCATGTTCACTTGCTCTGCCTTTCAACATTTAAAAGTAAGCATAAGGCTATATAGAGTGTGTGGAGATAGATTATCAGTCTTTTTTTCCTCTAGTTATTGGAAATAGTTACTGTAAAACCTAAGTGATACAAGCTATGCTGCATTTTAATTAGACTTCAGTGTTTTCTTTCTGATGATGGCATCTGGAGAACAAGCTGGCTGTATTTCCCACAATAAGATGCCTTTTGTGAACTGACATCTCAGAATACACCTTACAAACTGTCATAAAGAATAATGAAGTTATCGGCATCAAAAGTAGTCTGCCGTCATCAAATGAGGTATTTTTAGTGAAGTCACCCAGATTAGCTATCAATATGAGAATGCATCTACATGGCATGACTAAAGCTTTCCTGGTCCATTTTGACAAAAACTCCAATGGTAAATTGGTATAGCTAGCCGTCAGAACCCTGATTTTGATTGTGAGTAAATGTACCTATTAGATCGGGGGCCAGGACTGGGAGGCTACACACCCGTATGGCATGCCATTTTTCTAAAAGGGCTTTACAGCTTTCCCAGTGCTGTTGGTATAGAGACCAAACTTCCTACCTGTATACCCTGGGCCATGAAGTGCTGCTGCTTTCAGCGCTCAGCTTCTCTAGCATTTTTTCAATGTCTCAACAAGCCACACACTCTTTCTCTGCCCTGGTATTCAGCTGTTCTAGTTCTCCTGCCCAAGATAATCTCTCCTGACCGTTTCTCGCACTTATTTCCCATTGTCTTGATTAACCTTCGGGTGCCAATTTAAACACCACTTCCCCCAGGATGTCTCATCTGATACTCGAAGGATGAGTTTTCCCAAAAATGCTTCTATGGCACCCAACACTTCCCCTGCCTCGTTTCCCCACTGCTGTAATAGCTCATTTCATTGTCTGCATCCTCTGCTAGATAGGAAGCCCTGTGAACATGTTAGCCTCTATCTTGTTCAGCCTTGTGCCCAAAGTACTTACCACAGGTATTCACGTGAATACTTTTGAAGAGTAAACTTCAGATTATGTGAGGGGATACCAATATTAAGGAATTAGAAAAAAATGAACAGACAGGTATAGCATGAAAGAAGACTGGGTAGAGGGGTCTCGTCCAATAGATAGTATATATTAGGTGGATACACTAGTAGTGACAGCTATGGGCCACTG